CTAGGCTACCTTACTGAAGCGTGTTGCTAGGCTACCTTACTGAAGCGTGTTGCTAGGCTACCTTACTGAAGCGTGTTGCTAGGCTACCTTACTGAAGCGTGTTGCTAGGCTACCTTACTGAAGCGTGTTGCTAGGCTACCTTACTGAAGCGTGTTGCTAGGCTACCTTACTGAAGCGTGCTACTAGGCTACTTCACTGAAGCGTGCTACTAGGCTACTTCACTGAAGCGTGCTACTAGGCTACTTCACTGAAGTGTGCTACTGGGCTACTTCACTGAAGTGTGCTACTAGGCTACTTCACTGAAGTGTGCTACTAGGCTACTTCACTGAAGTGTGCTACTAGGCTACTTCACTGAAGCATGCTACTAGGCTACTTCACTGAAGCATGCTACTAGGCTACTTCACTGAAGTGTGCTACTAGGCTACTTCACTGAAGCGTGCTACTAGGCTACTTCACTGAAGTGTGCTACTAGGCTACCTCACTTAAGCGTGCTACTAGGCTACTTCACTGAAGCGTTCTACTAGGCTACTTCACTGAAGCGTTCTACTAGGCTACTTCACTGAAGCGTGCTACTGGGCTACTTCACTGAAGCGTGCTACTAGGCTACCTTAAACCATTCATAGTAATAAGGAAGTTAAGGTCTGCTGTGTTACATGATCTGTCTACAGTGAATGGTTCTTACTCCAAGGAAGCGAGTCAACTCTCCCTTTATAGATTAGCCACTCCTCAAGCGCTCTAATTTCCTTACGGGTTTAGCACTTCCTTTTCAATACTTATAACTACTGGTTTGTGGCTTCTTTTGCGTGTTATCATACTAATCCTTAAGTCACTGCTTTATACAGTGACTATGACTGGAACAAGTCGGAGCGAAATGTCATCGTAAGCTCCTCTCTCCTATGTGTGGGCTATTTGTGTATTCAGTATGAGAGAGAGAGAGTGAGAGAGGAGAGAGAGAGAGAGAGAGAGAGAGAGAGAGGGGAGAGAGAAATGGATCACTAAATACCAGGTCAAAATCCAACATCGTCTGCCCAACTTACTGGCGACTTGCATTCCTCTTCCTCACACCTCTCCCTCATAACCCTTCCTCACACCTCTCTCTCATAACCCTCACACCTCTCCCTAATAACCCTTCCTCACACCTCTCCCTCATAACCCTTCCTCACACCTCTCCCTCATAACCCTTCTTCACACCTCTCTCATAACCCTCACACCTCTCCCTCATAACCCTTCCTCACACGTCTCTCATAACCCTTCCTCACACCTCTCCCTCATAACCCTTCCTCACACCTCTCCCTCATAACCCTTCCTCACACATCTCTCTCATAACCCTTCCTCACACCTCTCCCTCATAGCCCTTCCTCACACCTCTCTCTCATAACCCTTCCTCACACCTCTCCTCATAACCCTTCCTCACACCTCTCCCTCATAACCTTCCTCACGCCTCTCCCTCATAACCCTTCCTCACACCTCTCCTTCATAACCCTTCCTCACACCTCTCCCTCATAACCCTTCCTCACACCTCTCCCTTATAGCCCTTCCTCACACCTCTCCCTCATAACCCTTCCTCACACCTCTCCCTCATAGCCCTTCCTCACACCTCTCCCTCATAACCCTTCCTCACACCTCTCCCTCATAACCCTTCCTCACACCTCTCCCTCATAGCCCTTCCTCACACCTCTCCCTCATAACCCTTCCTCACACCTCTCCATCATAGCCCTTCCTCACACCTCTCCCTCATAACCCTTCCTCACACCTCTCCCTCATAGCCCTTCCTCACACCTCTCCCTCATAACCCTTCCTCACACCTCTCCCTCATAGCCCTTCCTCACACCTCTCCCTCATAACCCTTCCTCACACCTCTCCCTCATAACCCTTCCTCACACCTCTCCCTCATAGCCCTTCCTCACACCTCTCCCTCATAACCCTTCCTCACACCTCTCCCTCATAGCCCTTCCTCACACCCCTCCCTCATAACCCTTCCTCACACCTCTCCCTCATAACCCTTCCTCACACCTCTCCCTCATAGCCCCTTTCCCCACACCTCTCTCTCATAACCCTTCCTCACACCTCTCCCTCATAGCCCTTCCTCACACCTCTCCCTCATAACCCTTCCTCACACCTCTCCCTCATAGCCCTTCCTCACACCTCTCCCTCATAACCCTTCCTCACACCTCTCCCTCATAGCCCTTCCTCACACCTCTCCCTCATAACCCTTCCTCACACCTCTCCCTCATAACCCTTCCTCACACCTCTCCCTCATAACCCTTCCTCACACCTCTCCCTCATAACCCTTCCTCACACCTCTCCCTCATAACCCTTCCTTACACCTCTCCCTCATAACCCTTCCTCACACCTCTCCCTCATAACCCTTCCTCACACCTCTCCCTCATAACCCTTCCTCACACCTCTCCCTCATAACCCTTCCTCACACCTCTCCCTCATAACCATCCTCACACCTCCCCTCATAACCCTTCCTCACACCTCTCCTCATAACCCTTCCTTACACCTCTCCCTCATAACCCTTCCTCACACCTCTCCCTCATAACCCTTCCTCACACCTCTCCCTCATACCAGCGATATTCCAGTAATGATAAATTATGTAGAACAGGACGATAATAAACTGTGCACGATTAGGGTCACAAGTGACATGGTCCTTAGGCAAATAGATGAATTAAAACCTAACAAATCCCCAGGCCCTGATGATCTGTATGCAAGGGTTCTAAAGGAATGTAAAGAGGAGCTTAGCACACCTTTGGCTAATCTTTTCAACATATCACTACAAACTGGCATAGTGCCAGATAAGTGGAAAATGGCAAATGTGATACCTATTTTCAAAACAGGTGACAGGTCCTTAGCTTCGAACTATAGACCAATAAGCCTAACCTCCATAGTGGGAAAATTTATGGAATCAATAATTGCCGAGGCAGTTCGTAGCCACCTTGAAAGCATAAATTAATCAACGATCTCAGTATGGTTTTACAAAGGGGCGTTCCTGCCTTACGAATTTATTAACTTTTTCACTAAGGTATTGAGGAGGGTAGATCATGGTAATGAATATGATATTGTGTATATGGACTTCAGTAAGGCTTTTGACAGGGTCCCACATCAGAGACTATTGAGGAAAATTAAAGCACATGGAATAGGAGGAGAAATTTTTTCCTGGACAGAGGCATGGTTGACAAATAGGCAGCAGAGAGTTTGCATAAATGGGGAGAAATCAGAGTGGGGAAGCGTCACGAGCGGTGTTCCACAGGGGTCAGTGTTGGGCCCCCTGCTGTTCACAATCTACATAAACGACATAGATGAGTGTATAAAGAGCGACATCGGCAAGTTTGCCGATGACACCAAAATAGGCCGTCGAATTCATTCTGACGAGGACATTCGAGCACTCCAGGAAGATTTGAATAGACTGATGCAGTGGTCGGAGAAGTGGCAGATGCAGTTTAATATAGACAAATGCAAAGTTCTAAATGTTGGACAGGACAATAACCATGCCACATATAAACTAAATAATGTAGATCTTAATATTACGGATTGCGAAAAAGATTTAGGAGTTCTGGTTAGCAGTAATCTGAAACCAAGACAACAGTGCATAAGTGTTCGCAATAAAGCTAATAGAATCCTTGGCTTCATATCAAGAAGCATAAATAATAGGAGTCCTCAGGTTGTTCTTCAACTCTATACATCCTTGGTTAGGCCTCATTTAGATTATGCTGCACAGTTTTGGTCACCGTATTACAGAATGGATATAAATTCTCTGGAAAATGTACAAAGGAGGATGACAAAGTTGATCCCATGTATCAGAAACCTTCCCTATTAGGATAGACTAAGGGCCCTGAAACTGCACTCTCTAGAAAGACGTAGAATTAGGGGGGATATGATTGAGGTGTATAAATGGAAGACAGGAATAAATAAAGGGGATATAAATAGTGTGCTGAAAATATCTAGCCTAGACAGGACTCGCAGCAATGGTTTTAAGTTGGAAAAATTCAGATTCAGGAAGGATATAGGAAAGTACTGGTTTGGTAATAGAGTTGTGGATGAGTGGAACAAACTCCCAAGTACAGTTATAGAGGCCAGAACGTTGTGTAGCTTTAAAAATAGGTTGGATAAATACATGAGTGGGTGTGGGTGGGTGTAGGTTGGATAAATACATGAGTAGATGTGGGTGGGTGTGAGTTAGACCTGATAGCTTGTGCTACCAGGTCGGTTGCCGTGTTCCTCCCTTAAGTCAATGTGACCTGACCTGACTAGGTTGGGTGCATTGGCTTAAGCCGGTAGGAGACTTGGACCTGCCTCGCATGGGCCAGTAGGCCTTCTGCAGTGTTCCTTCGTTCTTATGTTCTTATAACCCTTCCTCACACCTCTCCCTCATAACCCTTCCTCACACCTCTCCCTCATTACCCTTCCTCACACCTCTCCCTCATAACCCTTCCTCACACCTCTCCCTCATAACCCTTCCTCACACCTCTCCCTCATAACCCTTCCTCACACCTCTCCCTCATAACCCTTCCTCACACCTCTCCCTCATAACCCTTCCTCACACCTCTCCCTCATAACCCTTCCTCACACCTCTCCCTCATAACCCTTCCTCACACCTCTCCCTCATAACCCTCGCACCTCTCACTCTTCCCTAACACCGTTACCCTCACACCTGTCCCTCTCCCCCCGCCTCCCTCTCATCCTCACTAGAACAATCTCTGGTGTGGAATATTCATGAGCCCGGAGTTAGTGAAGCACATCAGGGAATATAGAATAATATGGCGCATTATGTAGCATAATATATTTTATCCGAATATAGCACAACATAGTGTTAAATGTAAGGCGTCGTAGCCTCATGTAGTAGGCACACAAGCCTAATGTGCTACAACAAAATATTTTTTTTATTAAGCGCAATAACTGTCTCTCACTGCTGACCCGAAGAAGCAGACACGCGCCATCAGTCACTCGGTAACTTCCAACAAGAAGGCATCCCATTCCCAAAGGCTCTCTGACACCTACGGGTTTAGTGCTCCCACGTGAGTGTAATGATCATTATATAGCTGTCTGAGGGAATACTGACTGTGGGCCCAGTCCGACACGGGGGTACCAACACGGGTATCCTAGCCTGTACCATCACAGGGTATCCTAGCCTGTACCAACACGGGTATCCTAGCCTGTACCATCACAGGGGTATCCTAGCCTGTACCAACACGGGTATCCTAGCCCGTATCGACACGGGGGTATCCTAGCCTGTACCAACACGGGTATCCTAGCCTGTACCAACGGGTATCCTAGCCTGTACCAACACGGGTATCCTAGCCCTATCGACACGGGGGTATCCTAGCCTGTACCAACACGGGTATCCTAGCCCGTATCGACACGGGGGTATCCTAGCCTGTACCAACACGGGTATCCTAGCCCGTATCGACACGGGGGTATCCTAGCCTGTACCAACACGGGTATCCTAGCCCGTATCGACACGGGGGTATCCTAACCTATACCAACACGGGGGTATCTTTGCCTGTACCGACACAGGGGTATCCTAGCCTGTACCATTACGGGCGTATCCTTGCCTGTAGCAACACAGGGATATCCTAGCCTGTACCATCACAGGGGTATCCTTGCTTGTACCGACACGGGAGTATCCTAGCCTGTACCATCACGGGCGTATCCTTGCCTGTACCAACACCGGGGTATCCTAGCCTGTACCATCACGGGGGTATCTTTGCCTGTACCAACACGGTAGTATACTAGCCTGTACCAACACGGGGGTATCCTTGCCTGTACCATCACGGTGGTATCCTTGCGTGTACCGACACGGGTATCCTTGGCTGTATCAACACGGGGGTATCCTTGCCTGTACCAACAGGGGGGTTATCTTTGCCTGTACCAACAGGGGGGTATCCTAGCCTGTACCGACAGGCGCTACTCAGCCTGTACCGACAGGGAGTGTCCTTGCCTGTACCGACGGGGTATCCTTGCCTGTACCGACAGGGGGTTATCCTAGCCTGTACCGACAGGGGTTACTCCTTGCGTGTACCGAAAGGGGGTATCCTTGCCTGTACCAACAGGGGGTATCCCTGCCCTTACCGACGGGGCTATCCTTGCCTGTACCGACGGGGGGTTGCTCCTTGCCTATACCGACAGGGAGGGGGAGTGTAATAAACCGTCGTGTGCACTACACACAATGTCACTAAGTTATTCCAGATCATTAATAGTTAATAACTAAATTGTTTGTAAAATTGAGATTTCATGGCTTCGCAGTGAAGTAATTTTTGTTTGGGTTGTTAGGCTACCTTGTTTCTGTTAGGCTACTTTTTTTTGTTAGGCTACCTTGTTTCTGTGTTGGGCTACCTTGTTTCTATGTTAAGCTACCTTGTTTCTGTGTTAGGCTACCTTGTTACTGTGTTAGGATGTGGGGAGACAGAGGACTCGTGGGGAGGCGGGGCTGAATGGCGTTGGATTGAGTGATGGGGAAGGTAAATAGAGCGTGATGGAATTATGGATTGGTGGAACGGGATATGGGCTAGAATATGAGAGGACAGAATGTTGTGGAGGTCGGGGATAGAATGTTGGGGGGAGGGGTTAGAATGTTGTGGAACGGAAAATGGCATGTTGGGCTACAGACTGGGAGATAGAACGTTGCGAGGAGGCTAATTATGAAGATAAATTGCTAGGCTATACGGAGCGTTGCGCTACTGTGTCAGTATCTCCTGTTATAACAGAAGACTAACAGGTGCTGTGAAACACTTGACGTGTTGTCACAAGAAGTGTACTTGTTTTGTACTACTGTACTTCACACCACTGCTCTCCCAGGTGTTACACTAGTACTGTGCGTCACACCCTTGCTCTCCCAGGTACTACATTAGTACTGTGCTTTACACCACTGTTCTCCCAGGTACTACACTAGTACTGTGCTCCGCTGCTTGCCACTAACGTATTCTAATAATACTTAGATATATTTCGGTCGGGGCCACGATGGTGAGGTATCCTTGCTCGTGGTATACCCTTGCCCATACTCCAGTATATTTACCCCTGCATATCTACCCTGTATAACCGCCCTATATATCTGACCAGTATATTTACCCAAGTATATCTACCCAGTATATTTCAACTGACAGTGGTATAAATCAGGTGGGTTACCTGGAAGGTAAGGGGGTTCACCTGGAAGGTAAGGTGGTTCACCTGGAAGGTAAGGTGGTTCACCTGGAAGGTAAGGTGGTTCACCTGGAAGGTAAGGTGGTTCACCTGGAAGGTAAGGTGGTTCACTTGGAAGGTAAGGTGGTTCACCTGGAAGGTAAGGTGGTTCACCTGGAAGGTAAGGTGGTTCACCTTTAAGGTAAGGTAATTCACCTGGAAGGTAAGGTGGTTCGCCTGTAAGGTAAGGTGGTTCACCTGGAAGGTAAGATGGGTCACCTGCTAGATAAGGTGGTTCAGCTGGAAAATAAAGTGAAACATTGAGGAGAACGTTAAATGTGGGTTATATCCCAAGGTCTACCTGGAGTCTACTTGCAGGTTGTTCCGGGGATGAACGCCCCTGCGGGCCGGTCCACGACCAGGCCTCCCGGTGGATCAGGGTCTGATCAACCAGGCTGTTACTGCTGGCCGCAGGCAGTCCAACGTACGAACCACAGCTCGGCTGATTCGGCACTGACTTTAGGTATCTGTCCAACTCTCTTTTGAAGGCAGCCAGGGGTTTATTGGTAATTCCCCTTATGCTTGGTGGGAGGCTGTTGAACAGTCTTGGGCCCCGGGCACTTATGGTGTTTTGGGGCCCAAGACTGTTCAACAGCCTCCCACCAAGCATAAGGGGAATTACCAATAAACCCCTGGCTGCCTTCAAGAGAGAGCTGAACAGATACCTAAAGTCAGTGCCGAATCAGCCGGGCTGTGGTTCGTACGTTGGACTGCGTGCGGCCAGCAGTAACAGCCTGGTTGATCATGCTCGTCTTATTAATGGTAAGTTGGGATGTCACCTCCAAAGGAACCTTGAGTTTATGCTGTGGTACTCTGTGACCGCTGTTTCTAGATGGTACAAGATACCTAGAAGTAGCAGTTATTGCTCAGGTGGATAAAGATAGATGAAATGCGAGAACTAGGAACAAGAAAATAAAATCACGAGTCACTGGGATGTTAAGTGCGTTTTGGTCTCGGGTTGATGAGGAAGAGAAAGGAACTGGATACGAACTTGGTAGAGGCAAATTCCGTACATAGTTTTAGGAATAGGTGTGATAGGTCAAAAGAAATCAGAAACAAGTAAAGTTATCATAAGAAGGGACACACACACACACGCACACACAACACACACACACACACACACACACACACACACACACACACACACACACACACACACACACACACACACACACACACACACACACACACACACACACACACACACACACACACACACACACACACACACACACACACACACACACACACACACACACACACACACACACACACACACACACACACACACACCATCACGTGCCGGGTTCGCTCAAAACTTCAATAATCAGGCTGATGTCATCTCCAATATTCCGAGGAGCTCTTCATCCTTTCCCTCTTTATGGAGAAAACACCACTACCACCTTCCAGTCTGCCCCCTTCTAGTCTGCCACCACTGCTACCTTCCAGTCTGCCACCACTGCCGCCTTCCAGTCTGCCACCACTGCCACCTTCTAGTCTGCCACCACTGTCACCTTCTAGTCTGCCACCACTGTCACCGTCCAGTCTGCCACCACTGTCACCCATGGTATCAGAGGACACTACCCATGGTGTCAGGGGACACTACCCATGGTGTCATGGGACACTACCCATGGTGTTAGGGGACGCTACCCATGGTGTACACACCAAAAGTTGATAAGTTAGACAAAAACAGTTTGAAAGACGAAGAAGAGAAGGGCATTGATGGAAATTAGACACAAACTAGTCACAGGGACATCAAGAATTCCCTCTGTACTCTGAAGGTTGTTAGGAAGAGGAATGATCTATTTATGAGAGTGTTAATTGATTCAGTGCAAACATTAAGAGTGCTAGGACTCACGAGGACACAAACATTAAGAGTGTTAGGACTCAGGAAGACATGAATTTGGTGATCGTTCTCCAGTAATTAAGATGAGGGGCCAGGAGCAACGTCTCGACCCTCCACAGCCAGGATTGTACACACACACGTGCACACACACACACACACACACACACACACACACACACACACACACACACACACACACACACACACACACACACACACACACACACACACACACACACATCAATCAGATAACTGCTGCAGCATACGGGCGCTTGGCAAACCTACGGATAGCGTTCCGGTACCTCAGTAAGGATTCGTTCAAGACTCTGTATACCATTTACGTCAGGCCCATACTGGAATATGCAGCACCAGTTTGGAATCCACACCTAGTCAAGCACGTCAAGAAATTAGAGAAAGTGCAAAGGTTTGCAACAAGACTAGTCCCAGAGCTACGGGGATTGTCCTACGAAGAAAGGTTGAGGGAAATCGGCCTGACGACACTGGAGGACAGGAGGGTCAGGGGATACATGATAACGACATATAAAATACTGCGCGGAATAGACAAGGTGGACAAAGACGGGATGTTCCAGAGATGGGACACGACACAAGAGGTCACAATTGGAAGTTCAAGACTCAGATGAATCAAAGGGATGTTAGGAAGTATTTCTTCAGTCATAGGGTAGTCAGGCCGTGGAATAGCCTAGAAAGTGACGTAGTGGAGGCGGGAACCATACGTAGTTTTAAGGCGAGGTATGACAGAGCTCATGGGGCAGGGAGAGAGAAGACCTAGTAGCAATCAGCGAAGAGGCGGGGCCAGGAGCTATGAATCGACCCCTGCAACCACAAATAGGTGAGTACACACACACACACACACACACACACCACACACACACACGAAGTATGATTGTACATAAAGTAAAGAAAACCAATAGTTATGAACGTGAGGCTCATCAATTACTGTCACCCATACTAACTTGCTGATGTTCGTACTAG